CGTTTAGCATTGCCACCCCCTCCTGCCAGCTCAGTCTCAGGAGAGGAGGGTCTAGGTGGACGCTGGGGCCTCCTCACTGCCCTGCCCTCCCCCGGTCAGACCCTCCTGCACTGCCATGTGAACTATTTCTGTGTATGTGGTGGGGATGCCCCAGTCTCTGGCTTTTCCCCCTTGGTCCTGGTGTGCTCCTCTTGTCACCAGTTCTGATGGTCGTCGCTACCCTGCATGTTCACAGGTGGCTGTGCAATGACCAGATTGACGCGGGCACTCGGCGCTGGGCAGTGGAGGGCCTGGCCTACCTCACCTTCGACGCTGATGTGAAGGAGGAGTTTGTGGAGGATGAGGCTGCCCTGAAGGCTCTGTTCCAGCTCAGCAAGGTAGCCCCCTGCAGTCATCTGGGGACACTGTCTAGGATTAGAGCTTATGGGGCTTTCTTGGCAGGTCTTGGCTAATGGCTTTTGTGACCCCAGAGCAGGAGAGCTGGTAGTCTGAGTGACCGGTCTGTGTGGCGTAGGTACACTGACCTGCCCCAGCAGTACTGGGAAAGACAATCTTTTAGGGGGAGTCGGGGAGGCCAAGTGTATGAGCTCCCAAAGTCTGGGGCCACCTGGGGCCTGGGAGGTCCTAGATTCTTCCTGGTGCCTGAGTGGTCCAGCTGACAGTAGAATTGAGAGCCTGGACAGCACTTATCCTGGTGCTGCTCTGTTCCCTGGAATGGCCGACTGACCGCCCCTCTGCTTTTGGCAGTCTGAGGAGAGGTCAGTGCTCTTTGCAGTGGCCTCAGCGCTGGTGAACTGTACCAACAGCTACGACTACGAGGAGCCAGACCCCAAGATGGTGGAGCTGGCCAAGTATGCCAAGCAGCATGTGCCCGAGCAGCACCCCAAGGTGAGGGGCCGCTAGGAGGAGCTTGGGGGCCTCCATGGCATTGGGACCAGTTGACCTGAGGCATCGACAGCAGATGAGCCTTCTGTTTAAGTGGCTTTTTTTCCCTTCGTTTTCACGTTCATCAATTTGTGCTGTGAAGAGGGTCCCCCCACCCCGACTTTCTCTACCTAATAGCTGAGGCCCCCCTGCTAAGCTGCCTCCTTCCCCAGGATAAACCTAGTTTCGTACGGGCTCGGGTGAAGAAGCTACTGGCGGCTGGCGTGGTGTCGGCCATGACGTGCATGGCGAAGACTGATAGCCCTGTGCTGACCAATTCCTGCAGGGAGCTGCTCTCCAGGTGAGCCCGTCTTGGCCACCCAGACCTTTCCCAGCTCATCAGCCTCGAGGCTGCTGACGGAACTACAGAGGGAGCAGGTCTTTGTGCTGTGGGCCTCCTGGAGCAGGGGGACCCCCCCATGTGGCTGCCTTCCTTTGCTTAGCCCAGAAGTGGCGGGTCTGCCTGCTAGAGCCCTGGGCCGGCCCACCCAACACAGCCTTCTCCCTGCAGGGTCTTCCTGGCTTTGGTGGAAGAGGTTGAGGACCGCGGCACTGTGGTTGCTCAGGGAGGGGGCAAGGTAAGCAGGCTTACAGACTCCTTCCTGATGGTCTATAAAACATGACTCAGTGGCTGCTACACCAGAGGTGAGTGTTAGATGTGGGATGGAAAAGTATTATTAGTGACCAGCAGGAATGTCTTCCTGATGAGTGATGCTGAAACAGGCGGGCCCTTAGCACCCTCGGCACTTTGTACCTTAATAGGTCCTGAGCTCTCCCTTCCCTTGTGTCATTGACCTTCATGGCCCAGTGCCGGGCACAAGCCATGTCTAGCCCTTACTGTGTGTTCCAGGAAGGGTTTGGGTGGCTTACTGAGAGACCTCAGGAGAGAGGGCATGAGCAGGAGTATCGTTCAGCTGGGGAGAGAGTGGGGGAGGGTGAGGGCAGCACAGTCAGGGTCTCAAGGCCTCGTTGTTCGGGCCTTACATTTTTGAGTACATCTTGGACATTGACAGGCTTGTCCCTACAGGCTCTGCTCCCGCTGGCCCTGGAAGGCACTGACGTGGGGCAGACGAAGGCAGCCCAGGCTCTCGCCAAGCTCACCATCACCTCCAACCCAGAGATTACCTTTCCTGGAGAGCGGGTATGTGTCTTCCTGCTCCAGCGCTAGCCTGTCCTCCACCCCTTCATTCAGCCTTGGTGGCTTTGACCCAGGCTGTGGCTCCTCCTTGGGGCTGACAGAAAGTGAGAGCTTTGCTGAGCCCTGGGATGGGCAGGGCAGCCTTCTTTCAGGGGGCAGACTCCATCTTCAGGGCTGTGGGGTGGGTGGGAGCTGAGGCATGTAGCCCTGACAGGTGGTTGCATATTGCAGATCTACGAGGTGGTCCGGCCCCTTGTCTCCCTGTTGCACCTCAACTGCTCAGGCCTTCAGAACTTTGAGGCACTCATGGCTCTGACGAACCTGGCGGGGATCAGTGAGAGGCTCCGGTAAGGTCCCTTGGGATGTAGGGCCTGGGCATGGCATCAGGGTATCAGACTATCCCCCTAAAGCACTTTACAGCTTGGAAAGCACTCCTCAGTCACTCACTTATTTCCTCCTCACAGTGACTCCTTTGCATCATAGTTGAGGAGACAGGCCAAGAAGTTTGACTTGTGCTGTGTTCCATGAGAGGGCAAGGAATTGGACAATGACGGTGCAGGCCCTAGAGTCAGACTGCTGGGGTTCAAATCCTGGCTTCACTGGTTACTATTGTGTAACCTCACAGGTTATTTAACCTCTCTGTGCCTCAATTTCCCCATCTGTGAAATGGGATGATTATAGTACCCGTGTCATGGAGTCTTGGTCAGGAGAATTAAATGAGAAGATACATGTAAAAGCATTTACTACATAGGTGCCTGGCAGTGTGCCCAGTCAAGACGCGTTAACTATTATTGCTAATTGTTACCTTGGGCACGTTACTCACTACTTAGCCTCAGTCTCCTCTTCTGCAAAATAGTAATGATAATCACACCTGCACCTTCATCACAGGGCTGTGGTGAGGAGTAAGGCAGTCCAAGTGCTGGGTCAGGGTAAGTGCTCAAATGTTAGGTATTAGTCTCACCATCACCACCACCTGGGTCTCCTAACTCCTAGGTAAGAGCATTTTTCAAGGTCCCCTGCTATCTCCTAGGCCTGGTTAGAAGGCTAGAAGCCACTGCAGTTCATACTGGGTGTGGGGTGGGGGTCTTTGGGTATTGGCCAAGGACATCGTTGACCCAGTGCTTGATTGTATGGGGACAGGAGGGTAGGGGTGGTGGATGCAAAGGCTCTGAGGATTCTGACCCTTCCCTGCTCCGCCCCACAGACAGAAGATCCTGAAGGAGAAGGCTGTGCCCATGATTGAGGGCTACATGTTTGAGGAGCATGAGATGATCCGCCGGGCAGCCACGGAGTGCATGTGTAACTTGGCCATGAGCAAGGAGGTAAGGATTGGTCCAGCCAGCTGTGGCGGGCAGGCATGCAGAAGTACCAGTTCCTGCCTGGGCTGTGCCCTGGCTGACCCAACCCACTGCCTTTCTCTGGCCACAGGTACAGGACCTCTTTGAAGCTGAGGGCAATGACCGGCTAAAGCTGCTGGTGCTGTACAGCGGAGAGGACGACGAGCTGCTGCAGCGGGCAGCTGCCGGGGGCCTGGCTATGCTCACCTCCATGCGGCCCTCGCTCTGTAGCCGCATCCCCCAAGTGGTCAGTGCCTCTTCTTGGTGAGGGAGGGGAGATGGGCCAGAAACACTCAACTGCCCTCGGTTGGCAGAGGGCAGTCCCAGGGTGTGTGGGTGTCTTCCCTGCCAGGCTTGAGCCTGCTGCTCATGGTCACACTGCCCTGTTTCCTGTAGACCACACACTGGCTGGAGATCCTCCAGGACCTGCTTCTGAGCCCCAACCAGGAACTGCAGCACCGGGGCACTGTGGTGGTGTTGAACATGGTGGAGGCTTCGAGAGAGACTGCCAGCACCTTGATGGAGAGCGAGGTGCTGGAGATCCTGTCAGTGCTGACTAAGGGCAAGGAGAGCCCCGTCACAAGGGCTGCCACAGCTTGCCTGGGGAAAGCAGTGGAATATGGGCTTATCAAACCCAGCCAGGACGGAGAGTGAGGGCCTGCCTCATGGACACGCTACCTATTGCAGCACAGGGAGCAAGGATAGAGGGGGCTTTGGCTGGTGGGGGCTGGAATGTTGAACACTCTGGCCTCTCCTCTCCAGCTGCCCTCTGATGTCCTCTGTTCTGAGTCAGGGACCCTGTTCATCACAGCCCTGCTCTGTCAGCACTGCTTCCAGCCTCACGCAGCAGGGCCCTTTTCTGGTACTACTGTAGACAGTTGGGAATGGGGAAGGTGCATCCTGACCCAGCCTGTGGATCTTTGGCATTGGAAAGGACACAGCGCAGCCTCACCAGCTGTGAGCATCACTTGAGCCTACTAGCAGGACCACCCCCGGGTCCTCTAATAAAAGTGTGTGGAATTCAACAAATGTGTGCCCTGTCGCTGGACAGGGAGGGCTGGCTGTGGGGTGGAGTCTGGAGCAGGAGCTGGGCATGGTTTCCTGTGTGCAGCGCAGCTTTACAGCAGCACAGCCACCTCTTCGAAGGAATCCAATGGATTCCCCACCCCAGAGCTCACTGAATTGCTACTTAATCCTGTTAGGACAAGATGTAAACCTAAGAAGTGAATAGGTAAACTATTCAGTTGTGTGGAAATAAATGCATATAGGCCCTTCAGTACTTTTGCCTTTGTATTGAGGGTTCTTAGTGATCTCCACTCAGGCAGTGCTCGGAATCTGGGGTTTGGAAAACCTGAGGGAAACTCCAGTAACTGGGCCGGGTGGGAGAAAAGTCTGGGCTAGGCGGGCTTCCCTGTCTGCTTACATTGTGTACCAAGCCCAGCTTGAAGCTCATTGGCTCAACAGAGATAAGTGACAAGATTCCGAGCCAATGAATGGTAAAATCTGTCCGGAGCCCGCCTAATACGGCTGCTGCTTGTTGGGTATCAGACCTGCGCGTGTCCAGTAGCGAGCCGCCGCCGTACCACGCTGACGGGGAATGACAGGCGGTACCCGTCACCAGGGTCGCCCGTCGCCAACTCTTTAGATGGCTCTGGGTGATCCCCAACGGCTTCCAATCCGAACTCGGAGGCCCCGCACATGGCTGCGGAGGGCGGGATCATTTGGTCCAATCTCTGCCTCGGGCCCACACCCATCGGAGGTTTCGCGCACTCCACGCCCTAGGCCGCAGAGGCCACAGTAGGCCTCGGGACCGGCTCGACCGAGCTTGGACTAGACAGGCTGCGGGGACTGCAGGCAAGGTGAGTACCGCCCAGCGGCTGCCCGCCCTGCGCGATGGCGTCACCGCCCTCGCCAGCGATTGGCCCCGGGGAGACTGCGGCAGCCAATGGGCGCCTTGTCCAGAGCGCGACTCTTCAAATCCTTCCACTTGCGGCTGCCAACCAAGTCCCGGGCTGAGGAACAGTTCCTGGGCGGTCGCCCTACGCCCCCTCACTTTCTTTGTCCATCGGAAGGAGCTGCTTGACGGGGTGTAGGACACAGGGTCAAAATCAAGGTCAGAGGTTTCCTTGGGTTGGATTGAACCCGGAAGTGGTTAGGAGACTAGGCAAAGGTCAAGGAAAGACCAAGGATCTGACTTCAAAGGCTCGAAGATGCCATTGAAATTCTGATCAAACCAAACTTGCTGTACGGAGAAAGTGGCCTTGCTGTTGTAATCTCGACTGTGGGTCTGTTTCCCTATTATGCATGAGCTCCTTGGGAGCTTCTCATCAGCCCAGAGTAAGGGATCAATAAATGTGTGTGAAAGGAATAAACGACTAGATGAGGTCCAGTTGAAACTGCTTTGTATAGGTCCCTCGAGACCAATAAGTCATTTTTATCTATTCTAAGTACTGGATTTAGTAAACTTAGTGTACTTAACCATGGTATGTGCCAGCACTTGAACCCTTTATTTGCATCTGTTACCAAGAATTCTACAAGGTGTGTACAAACCCTCCCCTACTCTCCAGCTTTGTAAAACTGAAAAAACTGAATTGGACTGAAAGAGCTTAAGTAAATTGGCCAAGGGCACAGACACTACTAGCTGCAGAGGCAAACACGTGAACTATGGAACTGGACCTAACCCGTGCAGGGCACTGCCTCTCAAACAGTCTTTTTACTAGTGGGAAGAGCACTGTATGTGGAGTTGGTGAGCCGAGTTCAGCTCTCAGCCCCGCTCAGTCCTAAGCTGTGTGATAGGATAAGGATTACTTTGAGAGTCTCCTGTGCCAAATAGAGGCAGTTCTAGTTCTCAAGATTACATGGGGAGGTATGTCTGACACTAGGACTTCGGAGAAGGAGGGGTTCAGATCCTAGTCCAACGCCTAAAGGAGAGGCCACTTAAAATAGCTCCTGCCCACTTCGTGGGACAGTGAAGTTGCTTGAGTCAAAAGGGAGGACAGAGAAAGTATCCTACTCTAGGCAGCTCAGAATCCTCCTAAATCTGGTAGGATTTTAGCGAAGCCTCCCACTCAGCGAACGTTTGTGGAATGCATATCGTCTGCCTCTGTGGTTAGGAGGATGGCATTTTCCCCATTTTACTGGTAAGGCAGTTGCAGTGTCCCGTCAGGGCTCATCTGGAAGAATCTCGTCCGGTTCTGCCCTAATCTTCGGTCCCGCCACCCGCCCCAGCCAGGTCACAGCCAGCAGAGGGCGCCGCCGGGGCATGGCCGGGGAGCGCACCGGGGCCTGGTTCGGCTTCGGTTTCTGCGGCTTCGGGCAGGCGCTGGGCTCCGGGTGCGGGAACCAGGTACTCAGTCCCGAGCCGCTAAGGGCGCCAGGCGCGGGCCTCGATATCTGCCGCGTGAGCGCGAGCTGGAGCTACACTGCCTTCGTGACCGGTGAGCGCCGCCCCCGTCCCCACTCCGGCCCCCGGCCC